AGGTGTTTAAGGGTTTATTGGTTGCGAAGAGGCCAAGCATGAGAGCTATTGAAACAAACGTTGATTCGATTGAAGTCTTGAATGGAATTACGAATGGCAAGCTTGGAAAACCCATTGGCAGAGCGTTGATGAGTAAGATTCAAAAATATATTGAGACAAATTGGGATATTGAGGTCTGCCATGTGTTTAGGAAAGAAAATTATTGTGTAAATCATGGTTTTAAATTGTGAATCGCGTCACCTGATGCGGCCGCAATATTACAGTTGCGGTAGTGTTCGCATCAAGCTACAATTGCAGTGTGATTTCAAATCACACTAAAAACTGCATCATAACGCTGCAATGGCCGCATTATAATACCACAACTACCGTATCCATCCACATCAAACTGTATCAGAGTGCATCAGCCAGCAACATATTACACATTGCTTGGAAAAATTACTAGTTATAGCTTCCTTCCTATTTATATCATAAATTAAAAGTATGTTTTAAAAAGATTTTAGAGATTCAAAGTGACAGCAAATTGTTAATAATATATATATATATATATATATATATATATATATATATATATATATATATATATATATATATATATATATATATATATATATATATATATATATATATATATATATATATATATATATATATATATATATATATATATATATATATATATATATATATATATATATATATATATATATATATATATATATGAAAGTTAATATAAATAATAAAGTATACTATTTTAAGTTTACAAAAAATAAATTCACTTTATACGACCGTAATACACATCACAACAGCCGCAATATTCACAACCACAGTGCCAGCAATCGCAATTTAAAATTACAATGTGGATGATCTTGTTCAATATGGTATTGAGATTTCTAAAATTATTATTTCTTTGATTTGTGTCTTTCTTCAACGAAATATCTCATAGATGCTAACCTTTTGGAAACTCTGGTTGCTCATCTTGTTGCAGTGTAATTCTTTTTGTCTGGGCTTAACTTAAGATCTCTTTGTAAAAAATACAAAATGAATTTAATTTAAAGTTATTTATACAAATGATAATGCATCTCCTATTTGACCTACTTATGGATAGGTAGTTATTATCATCGTTTTAAATTGTGATTGCAGTTGCGGTTGCGACTGCTGTAGTTGTAGTTATTGCGGATGGTGCAATACGCATTACGGCTGTTGCTGTGTGAATTTTTATAAGGAGGTGTTTGAAATACAATGTTGAAAAACACTTAATGTTATGTTTTTTCATTACATATAAAGTAAATTAAGCTTTAGGATTCTAATATTTTGATTTTTGATGAAAATATATTAAAAAACATGATTAAAATTGTTTAATGTGGTTCCAAATATAACAGGAGGCGTAATTTTAAAATCACACCGCAATTGCGGTCCGATGTGGTTGAGGAGGCAACTGCATCCGTAATATTGTGGGTGCAATTGTGGTTGCGAACCGCAATTTAAAATCATAGTTATTATTACGAGACACAATTACAACTCTAAGTCGTTTAATTTAAATTAATTAATCTTTTAAATGAATAAAATTTATGATGTAATTTTAATTGTTTTTGTTTAGTATTTTAATAATTGAAATTCATTATTTCAAAATAAATAAATGAGATATCACAACAAAAAATATTGTCATTTCCCACATGATATTCACGTCACTAACAAAAATTTGCGACGTGGACAGAGCACATCGGAGGAGCAACTGTGAAAACTTTTTCCCACATGTAATTCATGTAACTAATTAGTGACATGAATTTCACGTCACAAACCACAATATTATTTTGAAATGTTCCCATGTGAAACTCACGTCACTAATTAGTGACATGTATGTGTTAATATGAAAATGTTCCCATGTGATTTCCACCTAATTAGTGATATGGTTTTTACGTCACAAAACTCAAACTTGTTTTAATTTTAGTGACGTGAATTTCACTTCGCTGATGTATTTAATAAAATGTAAAAATTAATAAATATTAATGAATAAAACAAATTAATAAATAATAAAATGTAAAATTAAAATCTATATATTACTTTTCTATTTTTAATAAATCTATATATTTATTTTAAACATAAATTCTATTTTATAAAATCTAATAAAATTGTTTTATATTCTATTTTTAATTAATATATAATGTATTTTTTTTACAAAATTAAAATATTTGTTTTTAATTAATATTATATATTCTGTTTTTAATAAAATAAAATATAGTATATATTAAAAATAAAATACATAAGATAAAATTCATTTTTATATTCTATTTTTAATTAATATATAATATATTTGTTTTTTTATAAAATTAATATATTTGTTTTTAATTAATATTATATATATAGTTTTTAATAAAATAAAATATAATACATATTAAACATAAAATATATAAGATAAAATTCATTTTTATAAATTCAGTATTTAAAAATATAAAATATGTTTATAAAATATGTTTTTATAAAATCTGGTTTTATAAAATATAATATAATATATTATAAAATCTGTTTTTTTATAAAATCTATATTTAAAAATACATACATAATATATTTGTTTTTAATTAAATCTGTATTTAAAAATAATATATATTAAAATAAAATTATTTTCGGATTTTATGATATATTAATTATTTGACTTAATAAAATCTAATGCTATATATAAATTTTAATCTGAAAATTTTAATGATTTAAATCTAAATTTTTTAATAATTATACTACAACAACAAACAACCAACAATCAACAACTAATTTCATAATTAAAATTTAAATAAATAAATAAAATTATTATAAAATAATTAGATCTTGCAACATATCTTAGTAAACTTGAAGAAAAATTAAAGTTTTATCTTGATAAACTTCTCCAATAAATATTAAAAATCTTGATGATTTTAGATCTTGAAATAAATAAAGAGAGAAATATTATATTTATAAAATTATAAAATAAAGTAATAAATAAAACATTAACATACTTATATTAATGGTGCAAAAATGTTGAAGAAGAAGTGATTTATGGGTATTGATAAAAAAGAAAATGGGAGAAACAGAGAGCAAAGGGTGAGGGAGAAGAAAGTGAGAGAAACAGAGAAGGGGTGAGAGAGGTAATTGAGAGGGGAAGATAAAAATATTATGTGGGTTTTAGGAATTGTACAAATTGTTTTATCTATAGTATTTTGTTCTGACGTGGGAAACATGCCACTACTTTCTGATGTGGAAATCACATGGAAATGAAAGTGTGTCAGAACGGTCATAAAATACAGGAATCACATGTGTGACCTGCAAAGACAGAACGATACTTTTTTGTCTTATCTTATTCCTAGTTCTGACGTGGGAAACGTGTCACAATATATATTTTTTTGTCTTTTTTTATTTACTTGTTGCAATGTGGAACCCATGAAGAAAATTTCCGTCGTGAGAAACATGTCACAATATGTTTTTTGTCATTTTCTACTTGCTCTTAGCGACGTGGACTCCATCAAGGAAACATCCGACGTGAATAACACGTGGGTATCTGCAAAACCAATATTTAATTTTTGAACGGTCATATAATATCTCTTTATCAACCATTAATTTTTGCTCCCAAAATTTTTAATTTTTTAAAACATGTTAGTGAAATGAATTTCACGTCACTAAGCGTTTTTTTTTTAAATTTTGAATTTTTCACTATCTAAAATACTGTCTTTCAATTTTATATTAAATTTTTCTTATTGCGACATGCTTATCACGTCTGTAATATAATATTTAATATTTAATGACATAATTTTCAGATAGATATATCATGTGATTAGTAACTTGTGGGTTTAAACACACACTCTATATCTAATATTCTTACGCAACTACCTATTAAAACCACTAAATGAGACATAATTTTAACTATTTGTTCTCAAATAATGACCAAAACCAATTACTATAAATACACTTTTTACCTGAAATATATTAAACTTATCCTTTCCATTTTAATTATACTTTCCTTATGATTAAAATTTATGATAGATAATTAGCTTGTGGAATTGAAAGACACACTTACCTGTTATGGCTTTACGCAGCATACAGTTATTAGTTAGCAAAATGGAAGGGTCCACAATTTGTGTTACCAAAACTAAAAAGTTAATATAAGTGTGACTCAGCATGTTGTAGTTTCTTCTTATCCTCTACTATTATCTATCTTAGCAATTTATTTCACACCATATATAACGTGCTATGACTGTGACCAAAATTTAATTCTATTAATATACTTCATATTTAACTAAATCCAACTCATATATATCTAAACTACAATATTATCCAAATCTCATTCATTCATTCCTATTAGGGATGGCAAACAAACCCGGGCCCGCCCACACCCGCCCGGGCCCGCCCCGAAATTAACGGGGAAAATCCGATTTAATTGGGTGCGGGTGCGGGTGCGGGTGAAACCCGATTCTTAACTACGGGTGCGGGTGCGGGTGCGGGTAGACACTAAGACCCGCCCGCCCCCGCCCCCGCCCCGCCCCAAATAATATATTTTATTTTGATTTCTTTATTTTATTTATTTTAATATTTATTTCTTAATTATACTTTTAATTAAGTTATTAATATTCTTATTGCAATTAAAATAATAAGATTAATCAAGTTAATATTTATTTATTAATTAAAATTTTAATTAAATAATTAATTAATTTATTAAAATAATCAATTTTTTAATTAAATTACTAATTTTTATTATAATTAAAAAAATAATAATTTTTTGCGGGTGGGGGCGGGGCGGGTGCGGGTGCACCCGTTTTCTACTGGGGGCGGGTCTGGGTGGTAAATTTTCACCCCCGATTGGATTTGGGGGCGGGGACGGATCTGTTACATGGAGGCGGGTGCGGGTGCGGGTATAGTTAAACCCGCCCCCGACCCGCCCCGTTGCCATCCCTAATTCCTATATATATTTTATGTCTTAAACTTAATTATACTTGATAACATATATGAGAGATTTTCTTCTTGACACATTACAAGCAATCATGGATGGAAAAAGTAAAACCTATTGGGTTGATAAGGATGATGATGTAACTAATTCAATTTCTAATGGCTTTATGACAGAAGATTTAATGTCTTCATATTTTTCTCCATCAGAGATGGATGATGATGATGATCAAGAAGAATCAACCTCTTCAACTTCTAATTTATCATCTTCATCTTCATCAAATTTAAATGGTCCTTTATATGAATTATCAGAGCTCATGAACCATCTTCCTATGAAGTAAGCAAACTCATGCATGAATCATGATGCATGCTTTTATTTATATATTTATTTATCTTCATTTTTTTAATTCAACTTTCCATTGACTTGCAGGAGAGGGTTGTCTATGTTTTATCAAGGAAAGGCACAATCTTTTGGTTCATTAGCAAGGGTGGAAAGTATACAAGATCTTCCTAAAAAAGAGAAAGTAAATTACAAAAATAAAGTGAAATCATGCAAGAATTTTGGTTTATGCACTCCAAAGGCAAAAATTGCAAAGAAATCTTCAAGAGGATCTTCTTTATCAGTAACAATTTCTGGAAGAAGGAGTTTCGTTGGAGAGTCTAGCTAAATCTTCTGGTTTTGTACAATATAAATTTTGAAATTAAAAAAGATTAAGAGATCTTAAGTCAGTTTTTTAAGCAAAAATATTTGTCAGGTATGCAATTTTTATAACTAAGTAGATTTATTTTCTGAGTACAGAGTTCAGTTTTTTACTTCAAAACTAGTCCAAACAAGAGGATTATCTATTTTGAGACTTTATTTATGAAGCATGTAATTCAATTTCAATAATCTCAATTTTATTTATGTATTTTTTATAACTAGGTTCATTTATTTATTCTTAAATATTTATTTCTTAAGTTTTTTATAAATAATATATTTTATGATAAAATTTTGACTTCATTTTACAAAAAAATTAAGACATAAATTATAGACGGGACACGTTTCTTTTTAAAATACTATTTATTCTGTAAAGTCATATAAATAATCGAGGAAAAATTAACTAGAGACACGCTTCGAAGTATAATTTATGTTATTAGTTATTTTATAATAACACAATTTTATATTTATTTTTTATTTAAATATTAACTCATTTATTCTTTTGATTAGACTATAAACCGAAAGGAAAGATTACTTAGTGTTTTCTATAAAAGTATTTGTTCATTTAGTTTGTCATAACTTAACTTATTTGTTGCTGCTTCAAATTCGTAAATATCATTTTTTAAGATAGATCATAAGACATAAAAGTATTTTAGAATTTCTTTATTAGTGTTCTGGACTGGGTCGAGGTTTAGCCCACGATCAGTGGGCCCAAATCCCATTGGGATTGAGCCTAGTAAGGCCACGTGCCGGTCGGGCAGGCTAAAGGCCCTCTGCTGTCGGGCAGGATCCTCGCTCTCGGCCAGTCCACCCTTTCCTCCTCACCGTCGGTCAGGACCATCGCTTCCGACCAAACGGCCACCCCTGCCCGGGGGAACCCCCAACGCTCCCCCCATGTTTTCCACGTGCCCCTCACGCAGGGACAGGTCACGAGGTAACGACCCACTTCCGGAAGTTCCGGTCTTCCTCCTCTCGGATATTGCGGAGCAGTTACACTAGAGCGTGGACCACGTGCCGGTCTTCACGATGTCACATCAACCCTAGCAGTTGCCATCATTGGGCCTGGTAGCCCAGCCCAACCCTAGCAGATATGCAAAACTATGTTCGAAAAGTGGAAGGGTAGGGAAGCATAAGATAGAAAGGTAAGGCCACTTTCGACAATATATTTGTTCTCGCATTGGACTGTGCCATTTTGGTGGGACATGTGTGGGAATGTGAATTTATGAGAAATATCTAACTCAGTTAAATACTTAGTGAAAGGTTGACATTCTCCCCCATAGTCGGATTGAACAACTTTAATGGTAGTCTTAAGCTGAGTTTGAACAAACTTGGGAAATAATTTGAAGGCACTGAGCGTTTTCCACTTGTTTTTAATAAAATAAATACAAGTGTACTTGGAATAAGCATCGAAAAAAGCAATACAGTAAATAAAGCTAGAAGTTAATGGGAAGATCCGTGTGCACTAATTCAAATGGAGAATGATACAATGTTATAGATATAGGGGAATAAAATCTATGAGATTTTCCAATACAATAAGAGTTACAGTGAAGGTGAAAAAAATACACAACAAGGGGGGTTGAATTGTGTATTGCAAAAATTAGATTTACTTCTGAACCAAAGTTCATATTCTAAAAACTGAGTTCAAAATTGATAAGGTGCAGCAAAAATAGAAATAGAAGTAAATTAAAAATAGCAAAGATCACACAGTAGTTATCCTGGTTCCTTTCCCAACTGAGAGTACTCCAGTCCCCTTCCCAAGTAAGAGATTTTCCACTATAATCAACCAGATTATACTTGCTTATACACACTTGTATAAGAATTTTCTTTTTGCTCAGACCATTTGTCTAAGACTTCCCTTTCTTAGAGCTCGTGTCTAAGACTTCCCTCTGCTCAATCAGCTTCTGACCACGACTTATCATTCTTATACCACCCGCATAAGACTTTACCTTGCTTAGAGCTCATGTTTAAGACTTTCCTCTACTTAGAGCTCGTGTCTAAGACTTTCCCTTGCTTAACCAGCTTCTGATTAAGACTTTTCTTTGCTAATAACTTGTGTCTAAGACTTCACCTTGCTCAAGCCTATAACAATAGACTTATATCTAAACAAATAATTTAGAGAAGGAATAACATATAATAGTACTTGATAAATATCAGAGGTGTTCAAAATAATACAACACACTTTTACAAAGATTCTTAATCAACATAAGAATAAGAACTCTTAACAAACTCATCTTTTTGATAGTAGCGTGTGTATTTCCCAATTGTATTTGCAGCGTTATTTCCTAGTTGATCTTCAAATCTCCAGTTGCTTTTTATAGCTAAAGAAAATAGAGATGTCGGAACATCTTCAACGACTACAAACAGACCAAATCTTCTAGTACATATTCTTTTCCAATAAAGCAAGTGTTGAAACTTTCAGTCACAAGAATATCCATGAAACAAGGCCGTTTTCTAGAGGATACAACTATGATTCAAGTACAACACAACTTGTAGAAGATAATGTTGAAATTCTGGCACTCTAATACATGTTAATACTGATGTCCTTGCATCAGAACATAATGTCAAGACATATGTTACAACATCTTCTGTCTGACAGAAAAATAAACCAGACTAAAAAACAAATTGCAAAAATATAAAAAAAAAACACATCCAATTGGTAAACCAGTTTGGTGCAACATCACCTACATCTGGGGGCATCCAAGTCAGGAAGGAAATTCACTATAATAGCATTAGTTCAAAGCTAAACTCCCTCGTTTACAACTTTTCTCCTAATCGCTACCTTGTGCAACTTCTACCTAGAAACCCTCTAGATATTAGAGAGAGAATCCTTGAAACGTCTGATTATGACCAGCTTGTCACAGTACATTGTCATGATATCCTAATTGACATTGTAAACTTTTAGTATCCAACGTGCTTTTGAGAAACACTTCCCTCAACAAAATACTTAGACAAACACAAATTGTATCCTTGCTGATCCAACATACAAGGTTGTTTCTCAATGAAAGGGATACCCTTAGACAATATCAGAAGCACACACAGCGAAATTACCATAGAGTCCAAAAAAGAACACCACACAGTGATAACAAAAACCAACTCCCTCTGGATTACATAGCTTATGAACTCAATAGAGTGTATCTGAACAGCTAAACATAATGTCAAGACATCTAGTCCAACATCACAGATCTACCAGAGCAACACAAGCTACATGAGAACATGTAAGCTTTGTACGAACTGCAACTTTACAGCTGGAAAATAGACCAGACATGTACAAAGCTCCCCCTGAAGACCACAACCTTCTACGGATAAAAATAACTTCTCCCATACCACAAACATCATTCCTCTTAAGGACATACCTATGCAAACATGAACTATCCCAGTTCATATATTAGAGGCACATGCACGGCAGAAGAAGGATAAGCCTAAAAAGCATATAAGAGAAACCATAGTTCTTCAAAACACTTCAGGAAGACAAGATGTCATGCACATCTGGATTGACATCAAGCACACAAACCACATATATAGAAGTAAATTTCCTCTTAAGTACCAACAGCTAGAATGATGTCAGAGCATGACATCCCAGCACCACCAAAGATCACATAGAAATACAAAAATAATTTCCATGCTACACAACATAGCAACACAATAGGAATCCCAGAGAAACCATGGTTCTCCGTAACATCCGAAATGTCATTCTGCACTACACAGCAGATCCTTCATTTTAGCACTGTCAGTACCACAGTCACCAACAAACTTGGCCACTAACTATACTCCATAAAACACCAGAAATTGATATTTCATTTCTGAAACTGTTAGTGACAAAAACCTCCACATGTTTAGCTCCCAAGTAATCTACTTCATTTTTTGGAGAGTTAATCTGCTGCACTGATGTTCCATCATTTGTGTGGACATCAGACCTTTGAAGCATTAACTTTGGTTCTGGAAAACATTCATAGGTTCTGTTAATATCATAGCAGCCCAGGCATATTCACTTGCATGCACTACTTAAGAACTAACAATTAAACACAACAATAAAGAAACACATTGCAAGGGTATATCAGAGACACTCAAGACAACCCTCACAGAGAGAAATAAATTCTCATACGCAACATAAACCAAAAGAGCTTCTACATAGAAGCACGATGTCAAAATAACATGTTTGATAACACAGTACCAGCATAAACCCTTATGCAAACAAGAAGATGTTCCTTCTAACAAGCAATATCTAAGTTGTCCTCATTACCAGGATGTTGACTGAGCATATCACAAATATCAGACTCTTCCACTTCAGTCTGCTCCTCCATCCACTAAGACTCTACCTTGCACTGGCCTCATAAGAAATATGAGAGGAAAGTCTATAATACCTGCAGAAGTTTAATGATGCATCATTTAGTGACATATCTACTTTAACTTCCTTTGTTATTAAGCAGGAGCATGACGTTTCTTAGGGTACATACAAAACCAACTGGCTTGGGACTCAACTCATTAGTGACCAAGCATTTCCCCATTCAATGATACCTTGATCAAGAAATACAACATGAGGACTGGAAATTCTAGTTCTCAAACCCTTTTAATTTCACGTTAGGCACCAAAGTCTAAAGGACCACAATTACAGAGATACCCAGAGTCCACCAGAACCTCCTTTGTTCCAATCATGATTCTGGAACACCCGCATCCGAAAATCCCATCTTGCTCCATTACAACTCCAAAAAGGTATGATACATAAGACTGATTACATCCTCCTAGTGTTCTAACCACTGCTTAGTTAACTATAGGCTGAGTTGATCCTTTGAGACAACTCTTCAAGTTGAACCAAAAGTGCCTGGTAAGACCAACTTAATTCTAGAGGAGAGACATCTCCAAAATAAGTTCCTGCCTCTAGCATGAATATTCTGATGTTCAGCAGGATGTTGAGACATGACGAAGACATCATTGATTCAACTTGCCTCTTGATATAAACAAATTCCTCTATCC